AATATTATCATTATGAATAAAAATTTATAATTTGAATATTTTTTTTATTACTAAATTTTTTACTTTGGACTTATTTTCGATTAGCCAATTAGATTTTGTTACATCACAAAATGATCTACAAAAATTAGCTAATCATAATAAAAGCTCTCTACGTTTGGGCCATATAAGGCCAACACATCACAAGATTACCTGATAGTTATCTGTTAAATTTAACCAATCAAAATTGGAAATTTAATTAATCTCAGATCAGTTTGAAAATCAAACCAAATAATTAAACTCAATTATCTCAAAATAAATTATATGTAAAAAAGGGCTGTCTTAATAAACAACACTCATATATGGAGGTTTTTGCCTTGAAAATGACCTTACAGTACATGATACCATAAAGTCATTTTCAAGACAAAGACCCATATATTAGATATTAGGTCCCAATTTCAGTTTTTATAAGGTTTTTGGAAGGTTCTAAACATTTTTACCATATATGATGTGAGAAGTGTAGTTTCTGAATATTTGTTTTTATGGCATACAATTCGGTTAAAGTCAGATGGTATATGCAGTGTATATGTAACAATACATTTAATGATTGACCAATCAGAATTAAAGCCCTCTATGCTCACGGCCCGTGAAATTTTTCTTTTACAATTATCTTGATTTTTTATTATGCAAATCTAAAAATATTGATCGTGTCAAAATTTATATAAATCTAATGAAAACTCATTTTTCAAAAAATTGCAAAAAAGGGCTGTTTTAATAGATAACACCCATATTATATCATATAATTCTTAATACCCCACTCTAACTCTAAATGTGGTTACATCACCCCTGGTTAAAAATAGTTAAAACCTATTTTTAATATAAAAAACAACCGCATAAAATCATGTAATTATATAGAGTTTGTGATTAAATATGATGTGATTGTATGGGAGGACGACTGTATTTCAACAAAACAATTATAGAGAACTACCCAACAGCATCACCAAAAAGTTTCGGTAACACGAAGATCAATAAAACTAACAGAACATATTGATATCACTCACTAAATAAATTTTAATATATTTACAACTTTAACAAAGATATCTCAACAATTGCCAAACAAAATTCAATAAAAATTTTTTTATTTTGATTCAAAAAGTATATAAACTAAAAAAAAATTCATCGATTTTGGTTTGTTGACAAACTTTGGACAACCACCATAAATTCGATAAATATTTTTTATTTTGATTCTACATATTTTTTGAATCAATATAAAAATTTTCATCGAATTTTTTGTTTGGTAGTTGTCGAGATATTTTGTTTAAAGTTTGTCAATAAGTCGAAACAACAAATTCTTAATCGTAAAATTTTTTTAAATTTTGTAAAGAGATATCTCGACAACTACTAAATCAAATTCGATAAAAATTTTTTATTTTAATTTTTTATAATCATAGAATCAAAATAAAAAACATTTTATTGAATTCGGTTTAGTGATTGCCGAGATATCTTCATTTAAATCAAAAAAAACTCTATAAAAAGGCATTTCAATTCATCAATGAATTTTAAATAAAAACAACCACCAAACCAAATTGATGAAAATTCTTTTATTTAAATTCAATAAATATGCAAAATTAAAATAAAAAGTTTCATCTAATTTAGTTTAGTAGTTGTAGAGATATCTTCATCAAATTCAAGTCGTAGTAGAATTTTTAAGTTAAACAAAGAATCTCGACAACCAACAAACCAATTCAATGAAATTTTTTTCACTTAATTCTACATGCATGATGAATCAAAATAAAAAAAATTCATTGAATAATTTTGTTTGACGGTTGTCGAGGTTTCTTGTTAAAGTTGTAAAAAAAAACTTTACTAAACGCATCTATGGTGTTATACCACCTATTAAAAACTGACTAATCCGGGATACTCTAAGTAAAAATGCTCTACTTCCCCAAAATCCCTTCCTAAACCTTAATTCTAGCACCAAATACTAACCCCAACATGAAAAATTTGTGCTAAAAATTTTATATAAAAACATAAAAACTTAGAAATATATAAAAACATAATAGATGCAAGACCACCATAGGTGCGTTTTGTATTAAATGATCTACATATGAGCTGTTAATTCTATTGGTCAAAATTTCGTGTTACCAAAAATTTTTTTGTGGGGTGGTCAGTTTATATTGGCCATATTAAATACTAATAAAATGAAAAAACTTTTACTTGGTTCTTACCATATTATAAAAGGCATCAACTTTCGTTATAACTATGACAGGTCATAAAGATCATAGAGATCATTTAAGGTTACTGGCCAACACTGGATACGACAACACAGCATGACATATAACCGATAAGTACTATATAGTGAATAAGGTATATATATGTATATATTATAGCTAAATATACGCTATACTATTTTATATGAAAATTTAATCAACATATAACGCGCTTTATTAACTAAATACGTACTGTATAAGTAAACCTTATAAACTTTAGGGTATCAATATAACCCTATGACTTCATTAATAGGCTAAACAATATTTACTAACTAGCATGGGCAATTAAAATAATAAATGAGGCCACAATGATATTGTTCACAAACATTGTAAAGCCAATAAAAGATGTAGCGTGCATAGAGATACCGCCACTTTTTGCAGAACCAGTGGGTGAAGAAGAACTAGTAGGGGTTGGAACAGTTCCATCTATAATGAAAAGAAAGAAAAATTAAAAATAATTTATAATATATATATATAATAAACAAAAATATATATTATACAATATATATATATAACTTACCTAAGAAAGAAGCATTACACTTAGATGTAGCAAGAGTTTGAAGAGACGTCAGATTAATTGTTAATTCACTCGTAGATTCAGGTGGGCTTTAATGTAATTATAAAAATTGTTTAAAATAGCTTTATTACAATCTGTACAATTAAGATCAGTGGGAGGAGTAGCACCAAATCTTAATCCATTAATATATGGGAACCCCCACAGCAAAACAAACCAGTGGGCAAAAAAAATTTTTTTTTTAAAAACTCAATTTCTCGAAGAATTGAAGTATTAGAAATACAATTTTTATAAAATTACAAAAACAAAATTTTTTGCCCACTGGTCTGTTTTGCTGTGGGGTCCCCATATTTCGATATCGAATTGCTATTTGGATCCAGGTAACAATATCCTCCGGAAGAGTTCTTGAAACACAAGGTATCCCTTAACGGGGAATTGAAAATAAGAAATTGTTTTACGGTTATAGCGTTAGGATCTTTTGCGGAAAGATCCGTTGCACATTGAGTTTTAAGTTCATTAGTATCGGCAGAAGTGGTATTATCACTACATTTCGGTGCGGCACAATAAGCATCTAAGACTGATTGTGGGTTAGTTGTATTTTGCAATGGTGCTAACTTGATAAATGAAGCGCAACTGTTGAGGTCTGAACTTCCAGCAAGTTTAACAAGTTCTGTTAGGAGAGATTTTTTGGTATTTGTAGTGCGGAAACAAAATTGAATGCTATGAGCACGAAAATAAAGAGTGAACTTATTGATAGAAATTTCATGATTGGGTTTAATTAAATTTCGAAAAAGGAACCTCGATTTTATGAGGGGTGGAAACAGAATCTACTTAAATAGAATATTCAAATGTGGTGTTAGTAGTAAAAATTTTCGTGTTTGGCATGCTGATAATCGGTGGTAGAATTAATTTTACAAATTAATGCGGTTACGGCATGTGCGGTATTTTTTGCCGTGATTGCTGTAAGCCGTAATGCCGTAGTGCCGAAATACTATATTTCGAATTTGATTCTGTCGATCCGTTGATTTAGTACATGCAACGACTATGAAAAAAGGTTTTGTCAGGTCTAGGTTTTATTTTGACAAACGATTATCGTGATTTATTTTTATGGCTAATTAGGCTATTCTATGAGTCATGTTTGAGAACAGCTTTAGCGAGCTAATTGACATCATTGTCAGATTACAATAACAGTGTGTTAGTGGCGGGCACCGTGCGTGATCTCGTGCGGGATATATTGTATAATTCGGGCAGTGTCATAAATCAGGACAGGTTTCGAAATATCCCGAGGTCGAGGTAAAATTTTGACCCATTTCCATAAGATTCCGAATGTATCCCGCATCCCGCGCGGGATTTTTGAAAAAACTGCCGATTACCATCACTACAGTATGTATAGATTAACTTATATAAATGTGGTATAAATATTTAATAATTGTTAACTCTCACAAGTCTTCATAAACACGATTTTTAATTGAAGAATTTGTTGTAGCACAGTTAATGACAATTATGAGCAGACAAACAGTTAAAAAGCATGTTGATGACTCATGAAACTTTCTATTTTTCACTTAACAGTTGTAATTAGGGGTATACCGTTCATTACGTAATTTCTTTTATTAGAAGGCCAAACCCTCCCCTAGGTGATAAAATCAACAGCCAATCATAGAATTTATATTCGATATATTGACATGATAAATTGCTAGCCCTCCCAAAATTACGTAATAAACGACACTCCCCTTACTAGATAGTTCATATGCTCTTACATAATTAAACTCATTACCATCGGCTTTCGCAGTCATCAAACAATGCCAAGAGCCAAACTCTTCTTTTCCAATTCTTTTAACATTGAATGGAATCCATTATCATATGCGAAGGCGCTAAGTTGAAATGCCTTCGTGCAATCATCAGTATCCTTATTTATACTTGCCATCTTTGGAGGTCGTCTAAAAGCCAGATAGTTTACTAATAAATTTGTAAAATAAAATCACGTGACCTATATAAATTACTACCACGATCCCATCCACATTATAGACATCTCACTTCATCTTGTTATATTCATTATAATGTGCACATTTCCGTATTTAAGTTCCCTGTAATCATAAAATATTTTTATTTCATCTCTGTCATAAAGATTATTTACACTTTAAATAGAATATAAATAACTTTTAAATGTGAATGAAATGCTTGTATGGCGAATATCAACATTATGGTATCACATTATTACAATATTGTGTTATTACGAAATTACGGAATTGCGGCATTACGGCATTACGACATTACGGCATATAATATTTACGGCAATTAGATGCTATGCCGTAATTAATAGAGGTGCAGACATTTAGAATTTTGGAGGTAGCTACCCAGCAAGAATATCACGGCGATACGGCATATTTGCCGTATAAGTAGAAGTGCCGATGCCGTATAAATGCCGTCATTCACTGGGCGAATATGAAGATGATCTATTAATCAAAGAGTGATTCATGTTTACAAACACTTATTCATTACCAACTAATACTCTTCAGACTACCATTGTATTCAGTCAGTGAGTATTACAATAAATTTTTAATTTTATAAAAATTATATATAATATTTGGCAATGATTAAAATGGTAACCTAAATACGGCAAAAGTTAAAGACAACACGTTTAAAGCATGGTATTTGGCATGTGATCCCAACAAGTAAAAATGAGAATATTAATGATTGCATCAGAGAATTTCAGCTTAGAACCCAGGGAATGCAATTGAACAGATTTCATTCAACAAATTACCGTATAAGTGCGAAATAACGCTTGTAGGCGTTATTTTGAAAATCAGATCCTTCAAAAATAACTTATATGTCTCGACATTATCGCACCCTAATGTAACACAATTTATTGCTGCGATAAATGATATACAGTCGACACTCTATATATGCACACTCTATAATTACATGCATTTTTGATCGGTCTAATGTAATTATTTAATATTATCGTTATATGGGATCTTTGCTAGGAAAATCACCCTTCGGGATTTTCCGATCGGGCTAATTCGGGAAAAGTTTAAACCAGAATGCCGATTCTTATTCATGTGTAAATCACCTTTTGCTTTACTTATTCGATAGTTTATTAAATAAACTGTCGAATCAGTAAAGTAAAAAGATGGTTTACATAAGAATAAGAATCGACATTCTGGCCCGATCGGAAATCCCGAAGGGTGATTTTCCTAGCAAAGATCCCATATGTAGATTATGCTCCATAAATGAATATGCACTTTTACCCAAAAACTGCAGTTATGGAAGGTTGACTGTATTGGATTTAGAAAATCTACTCTTATTTCGAAATGACGCAAAAGAGGATTTGGTTATGTGGTATACTTGATTATAATTGTGTAAAGCGCGTGAACCGTCTCGTACAAAACTATTTATTTTTTGTATTTACATGAAATTTGATTGGCCAGCGAAATTTTTCAGGGTAGTAACGCTATACGGCATACTACATCACTCACGTCGACTATCTCACGGCAATATAACCTTGGGGTAATACAACCTCTACGTAAGGTTGGATCGGTCCGTTTCGGTCCTAATAAGACCGGTCCCAACAATATCTATGGTTCAGTTCGGTCCGGTCTAGAGTTGCAAGTGAAACTAATTAATTTCACCAGGAAACTGGTGCACCATCGGTGCATCGTTGAAGATTAGTTTCATCTATAACTCTAGTTTCGCCATCGGTGCACCATTGAAGATTAGTTTCACCTGCAACTCTAGTCCGGTCCCCAGACTCAAATAAGCTATTTTCATGTGAGTGATTATCAATTTTTAGCTATCATTATTGAACTAAAATTCATCCAATAATGGTTTTTAACTAATTAAAAGTTTATTTATAGCTTTTTTAACTATTTAAAAGCTAATCGGCCTGAGCTGGTTAAAAGACCGAAAACCGAGGATCTTAAAAAGACCGGTCCTTAACTGGTCTTCTCAGGTCCGATTCTACGTCATAGCCGTAATGTCGTAAGTAGTCACCAGGGAGAAAAATTTGATGTGCGCTTGTGCGATCCGCACATAAAAATTTTTTTGCGCACAAAAAAATATAATATTGTGCGCAAAGCGCACGTAATTTTTTAATAATTATTTTAAAACAATGTGCGCAATATAGTTAACCCTGTTCTGCTGTAGCAAACTTTGCGCACACTAAGTCTAAAATTTGGTGCGCAACGCGCACTAAATTTTGACTTTGAATTTTTCTCCCTGGTAGTCACCGCTCTGTGAAATGCCTGCAATTAATTCTACCATTGACAAAATGCCGTAATTCAGTAATTCTACCATCAACTATAGTTTGGCATGAGACTATCGTAAATAGTGTTGATCTATTCGCGTAATGTCTAATGATGCTCAGAGTAGTGACTACTTACGGCATTACAGCTATGACGTAGAGGTCGTACTACCCCCAAGGTTATATTTCCGTGAGTAGAGATTAGGCCGATTACTTGGATGACCCGTATAAACACTCTTAACCGGATAGCAATTTTGCTAACCGGTTAATCCGAATAATGAAATTTCAGCACGGCTTTCAGTTAATTTCTATTAATCTGATTGATCTGATTGGCTGGGTTCATACGATTCAAGATTTTGAGAATTTTGAGAACG